GTTATTTTATATACTAAAAAATAGGCTTTGTTGAAAATAATTTATTATGATTCGAAAAGCTCTAACAAATCAGGCCTGGTATTGCATTTTATTTTTATTTTTATATATATCTCATCCACACAACTTTCTTCGCTTCTGTCTTCATACAGAAATATGACGCCATCCACCATTTCGCTTTCTTTTTTCGCCGTCCCAGCCGATTGGCAGATCTTGCTTCAAGTCTTTTCTAATTCTGGTGATCCCGATCTTTTGGTCGGAGAAGCTTTTGGTCACGTTTCTCTGTTTTATGAGTTGGCTAATCAAGTCAGCCATGTTGACAAGTTGAAACTGGATGAATGTGCTGAGTCTGAGATGCAACTGATTGGAGATATGCGAAATTATCTTCAAGCATTCGTTTCACAGGTAAATTAATTTGAGGATGGCTAAAAAATTTGTATTAAAGGGTTAAATTGCCCTGTTTTATTGCTCTTCGATTATATATATATGGCTTGCAAACTGAACGGAGATTAAATGTGATTAATCGCAAGCTAATTAATAAATCTAAAATACTCAAGTCTTTTGAGATTGTATGACATCGTTTTTGTGACTTGATCAGAATGATAGGGAGACCTTGCGGAATGTACCCAGTCCTGTGTTCATAGACATAGTAGTCGTTATAATTTACAGCATCGGACCATTGACTTTGCTAATTCCCAGACATTTCATCGGCATCGCTGGTGAGAGGCAATCGGTGATTATATTATAACAAAAATGTAATGACATAAAAAGACAATCATGGCAATAGCAGTCATAAAATTGACAGAGATGTTGGAATGTGTGTATTAATGCTTCGGAATATTTTAAACGCGCAGATGAAATACAGGAAATAGTTAAGGTAGCATCAACTTCATGCAGTTTACAAGCATAAAAGAATCTAAAAATAACATTTTTATCAGCAAGCACGACATCCATGTTGGAGCATAAGAAACAATTCCAACATTTAAATAATACTGCTTGGGAAGAACCTTAACACTGACGAGTGTTCAAACAACAGGTTATTACGCTTTCTATACTGTATCGCTTTGCTCATAGTAAGTGTTTGGTTTCTAATACTTTTTTATTATGCTTAACTATTATATTACGTTAAGAAGCGGAGGAAAATTATATTATTAACAAATTATATAAGCTTCTTCAACGGGATGGAACCAGTTGCATGACTTTATATTTCGTCGCTTCGAATAATACGATTTCCAATAGTACGACATTTTCACTGGACAAATTACTTCCAATAATCACGGCCTGCCCGCATGTTCATTATGTATGTATGTATATATTACGTGGTAAACCCAAAACCATTCAAGAGACCACATTTGGAAGAGATTGGAACAAGTGAAGATACTGAGAAGTATATATTGGAAATGTGGCCATTTAAGGTGGAGTTGAAGGAAGAGGATGCAGCACTTGAAGCTTGGGACAGAAGGAGGGAACGAGAGATGCCATCAGCATAAGACAGTAAATTTCCTTTGATTGCTATTTTAAACAATTGTAACTCTGCTATAAATTGCGCCTCTCACTGACGGGGCGGGTGAAACGTTTGGGGATATGCTATGTCAACGACACGAATATGTAAATGACTACTATGACAGATGATGCGGTATTGAGTGCTCTTCATTAGGTCTTTCTGTCACCCCAACTAAGTTGTGGAAACGAGGTCATACCAGATAACAAAGATTATGATTAAATCTAAGGCCGCACGATATTATCCTTCGTATCTACGATCAAGCCTTTTATTTACTTGATAATGAAGAGTCACTATCAGTTTTATTTCATTATAACGAAGTAGAACGATCACCCTGACACTGATTACTTAAAGCGAAATTCTATGTTTGAGTTTTTGTTCTATGCTGTCTTTGCTTCTTGCTCGCATAATTTTTATATTTTATACTTATGGGTAGCAATTCTCTGGCAGTTTTTTGGAGAGGATATAAACCCGCTTGAAATTGCACCTCTAGGATTTATTTTCACAAAATAATCTCATTATTTTATGAGTTTTATCTGTACATCACCACCAATTTTGTTCCCTTCACATCCTTATAAAATTGATTATCTCCCTTTTATAATTAACTAATGTTGGATATGGATAAAGTTTAACGAGAGACTAGAATTTTCTACTGCCATTTCCTGCTTTATAATATTTTTTGACCTCATCTATATAATTAAGGTTTTGTGCCCGTTCCATAGTTCTTATATAGGAAACATTTAGAAACATGAATAAGAGCTCACATGGACACAAAACTGTCTGCATAAGTCTACGGGTCCAGAAATAAGTGGTGACTGGACCTATGGCAAAAATACGACACAATAAAGAGTTGTTCAGAGCCCATCGCTTTTGAAGGATATGGCAATGAAAATTTATAAGTCAACTAACGTCCTGAATAGAGGATACGAGTGTAGAGAAATAAGCGAGAATTATTTCTGGATGTTGAACAGTACAAGGTAGATGATCAACCACCGAGTAAGGGAAGGCTTCATAAACATTAACCTGGTTTGGGCTCTAATATCTCAATTGAATCATTGGCATATTAGGCACAACGATTCGGCAAGAACACATGTAGGCACTTTCAACTTGGTAGAGTCAAGCTCTATTTATTTAAGGAAAAATCTAAGTTATTTTGATTGATCTGCAAGCATGTAGTAGGCATGACGTAACCAGCTAAGTCATGAGATCTCTCACTAAGATAGTAAAATTAGGCTGATGAAGTAGGTAGAATTACGGTTTGTTACCTTTCTTGATTTGCTCTTTTGATGAATTTCCTAGATGATGCTACATATGAAGACCAAGATGTTATGGCCTATGTTTTGGTCTCAGTCTCCATTCGATCTATAAAAGTCTTATCTCGCAACTTGTTAGTGTTGTGATAGGACTAGAGTGAATTAAGAGGGTATCGAATAGGTAGATGTGCCGGGAAAGAAAGAGGAGTGATAGCATACCCGTCCAGGGATTGATTGCATTTATCTCTTTGATGAGTTGTAGCTTGATGCTGAGACTGGCATGACTCACTAACAATGCCTGCGAAACGTCTGGGCATGTACCAATTTGGCGGGCTAACGCTGGGAATTATGATAACTACTATGGCAGAGGACTTCGGACAAGATGCATCCAACTAGGTCAACCTGGGAGCATAACCAAGTTGTGAAAACGAGGTCAGACCACTTTCTAAATGATGATAACTGTTTCCGACTGTCACATAACCGGGCGTCATTGAATAATTCGTAATAATCAATTGCCAAATCTCTATATATGAAGACCAAGATGGTGTGGCCTTTTGTGTGGTCGCAGTCTCCTTTCATTTATATAGAAGTTGTTTGACCTTGTTTTCGCAACTTGGTCATGTTGGTAGGAAGACTGAGAGAAACACACCTAGTCAGAAGTCCATTGTATGCATGATAATTTCAAGTCGGGCCGTGGACGTGATACATTCCCAGAGATTTCGCCGGCATCGTAGTCGACATCGTCAGTGAGTCTTGCCAGTGTTCACTCGTCAAAGAAACAAGCGAAGCCGATCCTTTGACCAAATGTGCGCTAAACAGTTGTTGTATCTCACCTGTCCTGGGCAATTCACCCATCACCCACGACACCACCCACCAACACGATTTTTTCCTTGTTTATTTAATTATAGTGCGGTGTGACCTTTTGAGCGGTTTTCATTAGATCCCTCCGCACACCAAGCTGGAATTCTCATCCCCCTTCACCCTTGTGTTGGTAATGTTGATCAGAGTCTGCCCTATTGTTACGCCGTCTTCCTTCCCTAGGTCTTACCAGAGTCTTCCTCTTGCCCCGTAGATACGTTTGCTATCTCCCTGGTTCAAGTATTTCATTCGACCCCTGCCACCCCATCCTTGTTCCACGAGGCGTTATTTCCCAGATTGTGTCTGCTAGACTAACTTGATACTAAAGACCCCACAAGTAATTCTCATGATCAAGTCTTTGCTTCATGGGCCAAATCTATGATAAAACAGGCCTACTGTCAGTAAACTAGCTCTATTCTCCGCGTCTATCCTGTTTATATCCCTAATATCCAGTCTATGACCTGCTATGCCCTAGTATCTTGTGTTCCAACCCACAAATGTTGTGGTACTGCTTGCTTTGATTGGGTTCAATGTTGAACCACAACATTTGCGGTTTGGCACACAAGAGACTAGGGTGTACTAAGTCATAGACTTGGTATGAGGGATAGAAACAGGATAGACGCTGCGGAGGCTAAAGCTAGTTGGCTGACAGTAGGCCCGTTTTATCATAGACGTGTAGCAAAGGCTTGACCATGAGAATTACTCATGGTCTTTAGCTTGAACTCAGTCTAGCAGACGCAGAGTGTGGAAAATAACACTTCGTGAAGCACAGATGGGGTGGCACGAGTCGAATGAAATTCTTGAACCACGGAGATAGCAAACAGATCCTACGGGGCAGACTCTGATCAATATTCCCAGCACAAGGTTGAAGGGGGTGAGAACGAAAGTGTGGGGTGTGGAGGGTTTTCATGAAAGCCGCTCATAAGGACACACCACACAACATTTAAGTTATCAAGTAAAAAAAATTATAATCATGAAGGTGTGATACGAGGGTATAGGATAGAAAAATGGCCCAGGACAGAAGGAGAGATACCACAACTGTTTAGCACTTATTTGGTCATAGGATCGCCTTCACTTGTCTCTTTGACGAGTAGTAGTGTTGTGCGAACTACGATGCCGCCCAAACGTCTGGAAATGTACCAATTCCACGGTCACGCTTTGGAAATTATCATGCATACAATGGATTCCGGACTAGTTGCGTTCCTCTAAGTCTTTCTACTAATATGACCAAGATGGGAAAACAAGGTAACATAACTCCTGTCATATCTCTAGTTTACGAATATCTTGTTCCCTATTTCACAAATTATTTTTTTCAAGCCGTGTTGATAGAGCTGAAATAGCTTCGAGATAGCAATCTATTTTCTGCAATTAGGCTGACTTATTATTCAATGTGCTTAAGCACGTTTAATCATCTTTGGATATTTCCCTCATTTTAAAATGTTCAGATCTTAGATATGAAAACCTTTACTTGTCACTTTGATCATTTGTAATTCTGTGCTTACGATGGTAGCTCTCACTGAGGATGTTGACTAAGATGCCGGCAAACGTTTGGGAATGTACCCAGCCAATGGCCTAATGCTGGAAATCACATATAATATAGCAAGGGACACGGGAATAGGTACGTTCCGCAAGGTCTCCCTGTCGTTCCGACCAGGTAGCGAAAGCAAGGCCGAACCAACATTTAACATTGAAGATATGAAGACCCAGATGTTGTGGCTCCTG